GGAGGAGGAGGAGGAGGAGGGGTACGGTAAATGCTGCTCAAGTTTACCCTTACCACCAACTAATTCACGCACAAGTCACCATGCCTGTTTCCACCTTGCTGTGGAGCACACGGTGGGCATTGTCGGTTGGGACGGTCGATCTTTCAGAATCTGCTCAGTCGCTTTCCACTATACCACGGCCCGTGAACAAGAAGGAATCTGTGCGGCCTTCGGTCAGGATGTGGATGTATTGATCAGCTCTTTGTTCATCATCGGCCAGCTCACTGTTGTTGGTTTCGTGGATTTTGCTTCTGCGTTTGACTGTGTGTCCATCGTTTTGGCTTGATGACATGCCGCCAAAGTTGCTCAGATTACTTCAAGTAGGCATCGACCACGTTGGCCTGAACTGTTGACCAAACAGACAAGCTATTGGTTACATTGAGTCACCTACCGGGCATCATTGTGTGCGTCCAATGCTGTCTTTCACGTAGCGAATCATCCCAACGTCACTATCCCCGAAAACACTTGAGATAAGTGCAGTTTTTTTTCTCCTGGAACACATGTGGATTTCACGTGTAGATTTAAAACTATTCTGTATGAGGTGACTGGGTCTACCTGTATTTTCCATATGATCCTTTGCCAAAAGTATCATGTAAGTCGGTCGAAATCACCTTTAGAGTGAATAGGACGGTCTTCAAAACCTTTGCATGCAGGAACGTGTCTGTTTTAATTCGGTTTTTTTGTTGAACCGCTAGGTTCGAGTTCCCAGCACTGTGTAATGATCTTCGGCTCATTTTGTGCGCCAGTCTATTCAGTTCGAGGCTCATGTGCAGCAAACCTGAGGCTGGGTATGGCTGACTGATGACGGTTTTTAAGTCAGAAACCGTTGCCCCAGTCCTTCCTGTCTGTGTCGATACTCCCTTATCTGCTGATAGAAGCGAACAGACGAGTCCCGGAAAGCAGTTCAGAAGAAGCAGAAGAAGAGGAAGAGGAAGAGGAGGAGGAGGAGGAAGAAGAAGAAGAAAAAGAAGAAGCCGCGAGCGCTGACCAACAAACTTCTTGTTCCAGTGATCACATCTTCTTCTGAACTTCCTTGCGTGCATATATTGCTAGTCGCAGTACGACTGCCCGTTGGCTCCAAGGCGCAACGGGAAGAGCAGGTCCCGGTAACTTGTCGGTGAGTACTTCTTTTGCCCCGATTACAACGGGCAGGACAACGGGTCTGCGGTTCAATGGTAGAGGGCATTACACTTAATAACGCTCGTGAACAACAAAAACGGGGGTTCAAATCCCACGGACAGCGGCTAATAACCGAGAAATGACCATTCCAGCCTCCCCCGCCGTTGTGAGGACTCCCTCGAATATTACATATTTTCTTGAGTGACCACAAGGAATGCCCTCGGATGATGCATGCAAAAACAAGCCTATAGACCTGCAGCCCATCGCGATCCAGAGGACAGGTAAATCAAAACTGTTTACTGGGGCAAACAAGAAGTCTATACGAGTAAAGAGGAAGACATTTCGAGCGCCGGCACCATTGGTTTTTTTTGTTTAAACCTTCGACCTCGCGCAGGAGTCCATCGTAGCAGATAAAAGCTCCAACAGAACAGGCGAGAACTGTAGTGAATGATCACCAATCAACGATCGGTGACGCGAGCGTGGAGGTGGCTACGCTGGGCTCTGTATGCCGGAGCTAAATCGACACATCGATTGACTGACTTCTTATCCGAGACTCAAGGCCTCAGTCAATTCGCGACCGACGTGGTTGATTATCCTGCTGGGTGGTCCGTTTTGAAGGTGCGGGCAGCCACTTGTGATATTTCGTCGCACAACCAGCTCGTGTCCGTGTTTGCGAGATCTGAGCGTGTGCTCAGTCTGACCCGCGTAATTGCAAAGGCAGTCTAGGCACAGGATATGCTGCACAGTACGCCTGACTGCGGCCTCGGATTTGATGGGTTCTTGAATTTCATGGCCTTGTGGCCTATGGTAGTTTTGGACCGGTGTGCAACTCCAACACCTGGTTCTGCGGCAACGCTCTTGGTCGCCTCTGAAACGTCCTTTTTGTGCGACAGAGCATGCTAAATCATCGGTTGTTTTCCCGGTGGGGTACTTCGAGGGCGAACACGTGGACATCGGCTTACAAAAGCCCTCGAATAGTCGTTCCGCATAAATTGGCCCAAGCGGTATTGGGCCTCGGGTTGCTATAGTAAGTCTGGACCTGCTTGAAGAGTGTGGTCGCACAGCTTTTGTTTAGGAGCCAACGGAGGGCTGCTGTGAAAACTGCGCAGTCGCCTCTGCGCCCGCGTCACTGTCGTCGTCTCTGTTGT